TTTTTTTTTTTTTTGAGTATATAATGTCTGTGGCCGCAATGAACTACGAGTTATATTAGTAATTGCCAATCTTTTTAACATACATTGGAGAAAATTGCGTCGTCTGAGACTTTCTATTAGTCATAAATCAGTAAAAGCTTAATGCGAAAATCTTACCAAATTTTTGAAGTTGATGTCTTGTCTTAATTTTACTCCAAACGGACCCGAGTTTGCGCGATTAATCAACAAATGTGCCCATATTCCAAATCGCTCTCTTAAAATTTTGAATTTGGTCATCTGTATGGCACAATGATGTTGAAGGACAGGAGAAGTTAGAACAATAAAAACATAAAATTAAGTGAGCTTAAGCAGTTTTGATGATACTTTTCTTAGGATTTAGCCGCACCATTTTGGCGTATTTTCTAATGTTTGAACATCTGAGAATTCTTGGACATTTTTCTCGATTTTAATTCTCTTTCTGCTTTCCTCATTTCTGAATAGTAATATATGCGAGACCTCACTCTGATGTTGGACCGTATTTAGATTTCAGTCTTGAAAAACAAATTTTAGTTGGTAGTGTTTTACTTCTGGTTGAATCTTCATTTACTGCTGTTTAGAAAAAGGATTATAATGTGCTTTGAAATCCTACTAACATAGATATGCCCTATCCACAGCATAGTTAAAAAGGCATAATTTTAGACTTTACGAGAGGACAATACTGAACGGGTCGTTAACTGGAGGCCTTGTAAGTTTTTCAGTAGTTATGAAATAGTCTGTTGAAATAGGTCCTGCTTTTTCTATTTTTTATTCCCCAAAATAGAGAATAAAAGTTTTTTACAAATATCAGAAATATCGCTTCAATGAGTTTTGTGTGCGACTGCAAAAGTTCAAAGTAATGTCTACAAGCTCACTGTTGAGAAGTGGTAATTTTACATGTCAGCGTAAGCTCGGGGCAGAAGTACAGTCAGAAATTATTACTCCTGCACCATTTCAATTTCCCTTATTTTGTAGCTTCTACAACAGGCACATTTTTCTGAACTCTTTCCTTGTTTAATTAAAAATTGCATTTTGATAATTTCAGCAGAACTTAAAGAAGTTGATTACGAGATTGGTTACGATGAAATACAAGAAGGTTATTTTTTATTTACATAGTTGCTTGCTGGCATGATATTTTTACCTTTTGGAATTTTTTGATGCACACTGATTTCCTTAAAATCTGTTTAAGGAAGTGGAATTGCATTAACTAATCAATGGTACCTCCAAATCCTCACACTGTGGTTTACGGCTGAAGTGATACTGTATTTCCGCTGATTTTTTTTTTAAATCTCCTCTCACTTTCATCCTCGTCCTTTCAGTTTTACAAAGATAATCAGAGTCATCCTTTGTAGCATTATTAAATTTTTGCTACTGATTACTCACTTTAAATTCACTTCTATCTTCTCTTTCTTGCATATCATTTGATTTTTTTTTCGTGCCTTTTACTAGTCATTGATTCGGGTACATCCTGCTCGTGTAACTGTAAAATACTTTAGTGGATGCAGCAGAAAAGATTCGTTGTTTATTTAAATTTAATTTAACATTTTTCAAGTTGCTTATATATGTTCTATATGTTCCCTAACAAGCTCCATTGTGTTTCATTTTATACGTAGAGGTTTCGCCCTCCACGCACTGGTTAATATATAAATAAAAGAACAAAAAAAAAACAAGTGCTGCAAATAATTTCTTCAGGTAATAATATCCTTATTACATTGAAGGGCTGGTGTCCCACCTCTTGTCAGAGACCATTCCTTGTCTGGAGCAGAAGTACTAGAAATAAAGCTTCGCTTTAGACACCTAAAAAGTGTGCTGATCTAAAATTCTATAGTTTCCTCGAATTGTAGTATTATCTGACTTATCTCTTTGATGACGACCTATGAGGGACGTTTACAATACTGCTAACGGATAGAAACAGTAGTTTGCGAAGCAATAATAAGCGAGGGTGAACTTGATAGCGAATCTTTTTACATTTCCCAAATTCGCAGTGATCAAGCTTTGTACGAGTTTCGTCGGTTAGCGAGAATGTTTTCCACTACTGATACCAACTAAGTTGGTATCATCATCCGATTGTGTTTGTCAGCAAACAAATTGGAAATTGAACGATAAACTTTAACAGCATTACGTGATGGAAGCGAAACCTCGCTAGTTTCTTAAAAATATTCGGCTCATCATTTTGAATTGCAGGGAATTAGAGACCATCACAATGACGAGTTCACAGACCACAAACACGGGTGGTCATCACTATTCACTCTTGATCAAAGGCAACTCCCATATTTCCCGTTTTGAAACAACCATCAACATATAGTTCTTGAAGAAGAACAGGTAACTTATAGTTCATCGTGCTTAATTAATTTCTTCAGCTCAATGTCGAAGTAAAGAGTGGCTTTTCCGGGTATTGAAGGTGGACGTCCATTATCGCCATACCCTAAAACAAATGTCATTTTACTAAAAACCGAAGCCAAACCTTTAATAAAAGCAAATCAGTGACTTAAAATTACTTCTCTAAGTCTTTTTGACAAAAAAATATTGAAAACGCCATGCAAGGACAGAGCTTACCAAGATCAGATGGAATCACCACTTTTCTACGTTCACCTTCGCACATACCTGTCATAGCTCGATCCATGCCCTCAATAACCTGTAAATAAATGACCTGATCCTCATTTTCGTCCATTAATTTGAACTGTTTCATTATAACTATCTTAAATTTCCATAAATGGGCAACTATATAATAGTTATTATCAACAATCCTACTGGGATTCCGTACGATATGAACTAACTGAAGGCGAAAAAATTCGTAGTAATCATTTTTTAAGCTAAAGATGTTGGATTTAGAGCCGCAATAGGGAACAACAATAAATTCAGCAAATCTAATGGCTTACAACAGATTTAAAGCCTATCACAGATACTTTAAAAAGATTTACTTGCTGTGCACCAAGCGTGAAAATGAATGGTGAGTTACGGCTGAAACTTGAGTCAACAAATGTCCCATCCTCCAAATGAAGAGTATAATGCTGATGAATAGTATCTCCAGGTTCTGATTTACGACATTTATCTTCGTCTATTTTGTGCGTAACCTGAAAATGTTAATTATAATACAGGAATGATGTTCTATTAGTTCCTTCCAGATAGAACAGTTACTGAATTATCATTTAAAAGCTTCAATGACGAGTATCCTATTTAAATCCATTTGCAGTGGGACTGGAAGATAGTACTGAAATGTATACTTTTGCAAATGATAAGATTTTTAAACTTGGCTCAAAAGAAAATAAAGCGTTCAGTAGCGAGACATACCTCAATTTCAAGTCCGTCGTCATCAGTCCAAGACGGGCCAGGTACAGGTCTAAAAATGTCCACCAGTTGTACCAAATAATGGAGTGTCTGGTCGCCAGTAATTCCGTCAGACGGTCGGCCGCCTGTTCCAAAGCCAAGGGCCGGGGGAATTACAACTTTTCTTTTTTCACCAATACACATCCCCGTCATAGCTCTTTCCATACCAGGGATCACTTGCTGTTTGCCAAGAGTGAATGTGTATCTGAAAACTAACTACCACAGCAATTATCAAAATAGCTTTTGAGCAATAGATATGATCAGAAATTCCTGTAAAAATTTAGTCATAATTCAGACCTAAAAATTGTACAATATTACAAGAATAGACATGTTTACGGTTTTTTTCCAAAGTTCGATCCAATCACCTTTCCATCTTCATCGGTGAGTTTATAGAACTGGTCAATAATATCGCCTGGTTGACTTTTTATCTGACATTTCTCTGCTTTGATCGGACGCACAATTTTCACCTAAAAAATAACTAGATAGACAGGTCTATGTTAACATTTTGATGATTTCTGGCCGCACTTCAATACAAACATCTTAATCCCACCTTGGTGCTTCAAGTATTCTGTTTTGGTACCAATGTTAAATTAACCTGCATAAAAATAAAAACTTTAGAAACACTACCATAATAAAGGAAAAAAGAAATGATTGCAAAACCTCAAGTCCATCATCATCCTTCCAGCTCAATTTCTGTTCATCTTCAGCGTTTGTTGCATAAACCAAAACTAAGGTCAAAACAATTTTCATTAGACGCATCCTAAAATTTTGATTGCTTATTTTAAACTCTACAGTTTTTGAAAGAACTGCACAAAAAGTCAATCTGATTTTTAATCAAGAAAATGAAGCGCAATTTCTAATTAGCTGTAAAACAGTCGGAAGATCACAACTCAAAATCAGCAATGAATATAAATGCTCAATAAACATCATTTTCAACAGTTAAAATAACCATTTATTTTACAATAACGAAAAGGAGAAGGTTGAATATATCAGCCAGGCAAATCGATAGAAATAGACTCATCCTCCGCTGAACTTCTTCTACACTGACCCAAACGGCACTGAAGGGCATACTACACAGAGGGGAGTGGAAATAGGGTTTGTGTGCTCTGTTTGTGTTTTAAATGAATTTAGTTATTAGTGCTAGTAAACACTACGCCCAAAAATGGGTCAAACATTGTCGTCTTTACTGTTGGCAGTACGAACAAAGCTTTATTACTCTAGTAAAACGAAGAAATAAGAGAGAAATAACGGCACTTACGGTCGATGTAACAAAGATAGTAAGGGTAGCAGTTTACTGAATGTGGTCATGCATCAAACGACAAATAATTGTATATTTTTTGTTACCTAATTTTTTTAGTTGCTGAAGAAACTTTCGAATGCACGTACAGAGTTACTCAACTTCGATTCCAGACTCGACTAAACAAACCAAAGTTTTTCTTCTTCAAAGCCTGCTAATACAGTAACATCACTTTTGATGAAACTGCAAAGAAATGTTATGGTAAAATGCTAAACTGTGATACGAAACCAGTTTCATCAAGGAGCATTTGAAAAAAAAAGAATAAGTCCAAGTCTCATTATATATCATCGATTAGTAGTACGGTTTTTACATTTCTGCGGCAAGTTTCAACGCAGGAACTTCCAACAAACCTCGCTCACACACTTTAAAATTTCCAGTTTTGTATCCCTACTTGCCTGTCATTGAAAATTGAAATAGTTGCTGTTAACTAACAATTTTTGCACTCAGCGATCTCCTGTTTTACTCACCGTTATCAGTAAACTCAATAGGGATCAAGAAGAATACAACTATAAGAGAGTTTTATATCTCCAATTACAATTTTTTACCTTGACCTCTGTTTTTTTCCCCCAAAATTAACGTAAATAAATTAGTAAACTTGACAAAATTACTGAGTGATATCTTTGTCACTAGGAGGCACATCACTGCAGCTGAAATTGAACTGACCGAACTCGTAAATTCTTTTTAGCACAGCAACACTTTCTGGTCGGCAAGAGTTGGCAAGAGCCTACAGTTTTTCATCTCAGACCACTCCATTGAACGAGGAACATGATAAGTCGCTTGTTCGGCTGTTCTTTCAGAAGACGATTCGGAACAATTTCCA